CACCGAATATATGTTTCTTAGCAATGTCATCTAAGAAATGTTTCAATTTTGGGTTGAAAACACGTGCTTTAAGACCTGGTCTATGTTCTGCACTTTGCTCCAGCTAGAGATTTTCTGTAATCTCTCGCCATTTGGGGTTGTAGGTCATTGTGATGAACAAATCCGGTTTCCCGAATCGTCTCACCATTGCCATAGCGTCCTGGTAGTGCTGCTGCATACTACGCGGAATACCTTGAAAAGATTAATGTAGTGTGATAAGTTGCCCTGCCTTGATGGCGTTTCCAACCGTATTACTGACATTTTGTGCAGCAGTATGAATGTAATCCAAAATCCCTTTGTAAGACTCGACGCGTAAAGTTTTCTGATAGTACTTTATGTAGTTCAATCGATTAGCTTCCGGTGTGACGTAGGCGTCGACGGTGTACTGTTGAGTCAATTTCTTTGCATTCCCCAATGGGTTGAACTCATTGCGAATCGCAAGACGGTAACTATAGAACATTGCCTGAGTTACCTTGGAGTTGGAACCGCGTTGGGGTATTCCAATCTCCCAAACCTTTCCTCCTCTTGGGAAAATAATGGGATACGTCATCGGGTCGCAGACCCCATTCGTGAAAGGACGAAACTCTGTGGCATTTGTGGCCCTGGAGCGGATGCGAATGTCACGCTCGAACGGTGGTACTCCTTCAGCGTTTTGGAAAATGATAGACAGTTCATTCGCTTTCGGTGCGATGTAGCGTCGCTGGTCGTCAGATTGGACAGTCCGAATGGACATGGCAATGGGGTGAATTTCTCGACCTTCCTTAAGAGCTTTTTGCTCTTCATCCAATTCCACTTCACGCAACATCTTAAACGCATGGGCAATTCCAATCCATGGAATTGGAATTTAGATCTCCCTCATAAGAAGATCTAAATTCTCCATAGCAGTGTGGCGATAGCAGAGTGGGTTTTTTTTTCTGTTGCCGAGTTGGGAGTCTTGCATTTGACCGAGTTTCGGAAGATTTCGAATGATTGGGATTCGTCGAATATCAGAACAAGGCCCTCGCGGATTTATTTAATAAGCTTTACATAGCAATTCCTGTTTGGAGAACTCGCGAGGAAGGGACATAATGAACAAGGATATAAAGGTACTCACAAAAGAGGTAGCATGGTCATGTTGCATGTGGGAGTTGATTCTATTAAGGCGTTGTTTAGAGTCGAGGGTCCGGCGCGGCAAACTCAGCAAGAAATCCCCGAAGTGATTAAAAAGGTTTTACTAATTACGATCCCAATTGGCTGAATAATTTAAATCACAAACACAATTGTTTTCAAGGGTGAAAGGTGTCCTGTGTATTCTCATCTGGAAATAGAAGGAACTGTCTTCAATGTGAGAAGGATTCAAGACAGGACTTGCTTATTGATGAATGGCAAGATAGGTATAATCACGGGCCATAAAAAGAGTGGACTAACCTTGGGTGTGACAGATTTTTATGTGCCCCTTGTAGACCCTGGATCCCAGTGGCTAAGCGTCGGAGGGGGACAGGCTTAAGCAGTTCAAATTCATATTTTGACTATAATAAATATAAACTTAATGCCACGAAGAAATTCATTTTTTTTTATGAGGCAAGGGAAGTATTTATTGGGTGTCCCTCTTTCGAGGCACAGAAACATGGTCACCTTCGCCCAGGGAGAACACGTGCCCCTCCCCTCCCCTCCCTACACTTTTCACTAAAGAAAAGCCCGAAAAGGAATAAATCCATGAAATGCATAATTGAATTCCAGAGTTCCTGTACCCCCCACTTTTTAAAATGCACTCTAATTTCACGCTTGTGCTGGTTTCACGTTGCTTCGTGCAACGGAGGCTTCTTCAAAGTTTCTTGAAAAGAGGGAAAAGATGGTACGAATTAACTCGCCAGAAGCCTAATGGCATGAGGGAGGAGGGCGGCGGCTCCGAACTGGCGCGCGGCCTGCGCGTTTCCCATTCGCTTGTTCGGTCTAGCTATAACTACTGGGTGGGCCATAAGTAAGCTTATCGAGGGATTTTCAGCAACGGTAATTTAGTAATCTAGGTTGCTAATTCGTGCTGCATGTTTCTTCCAGCTCATGGTGATGGTCATACTTGTTAACCGCTGAAATGCCTCATGGACTTGCCAAAGAAAAAAGTATTTTAACCACTGGGTCATTAATCGGAGAACCTTACTTTCGGGCCACCCTGNTTCAATTTCATCCGACAATCAAAGCTCATTCAAACCCTGGAATAGGGAGGAGGTACTATAATGCCCTTACGTTGAAAATTCAACGTTGACACAACGTCGCACAGCATCAACTTTTCAACGTTGAGCTGTGTTTCATTTCAACATTGTGGCAACATCATGGCAACATGTTACGTTGAAAAGTCAACCTTTTCTCAACATTGAGGCAACATTGCCATCAACCTTTTTTCAACGTCGACACAACGTTGTTGTGCCGAATGGGTGGGAATCAAATCCAGAGGAAGTTATTATCTTAGAAGGAACAAACCGTGGAATGATAGTACTCAGATTACTTTCCAGCTATTAGTAAAAGTACATTTCCAATCGTAGGAAATCGTGAAGCCCAGACGTCGACCAACGCTGGCACCACGTGACACGAGCATGTTTTTAATGTTGAACTGTATTTCATTTCAACATCGCGACAACATAGATTCCACCTTTTACACGCCTTTGTTACGCCACATTGCTACGTTAAAGAGTCCATCCTCCCTCGACGTTGACACGATGTCGTTGAACCGAATGCTTTCATGATTTGACTCGAGTCGATTGATTCGTTGCACGTTTTGATTCCCCTCTCGCTATTGTTTGAGACATTTCTTGATTGAATCCCTTTTTGGCAGGCAAATGTTCAATTAATAATTAGAACATAGCTTCAACATGTACCATTCCAAAAATAGGAACGGTGGGTCATCCGAGGCCAGAATCTGCCAGAATCAAAATTGTCCGGAATCATGGGTTACTGGCGATTTCGTCGCGAACAGTTCGTTGCAGATATCGAGTCGCAAGCATCTTCAGTCGAAGTACAGTTTCGTCGCAGACATTGATCGTCGCACTTCCCTGTCACGAAGGCATTTAAAGGGTACACATGATAAGGTCTCACTCGACCCAAGCAAGATGGACTCCCAAGACGAGAGCTTTGAAGTGCACGTAAATCGCAGCTCATGGATTCGTCAAGAGGTCGTATGTCAACTTTGCGAGCCGCATTTTTTGCGCATGCCACATCCTACCGCCTTTCGGGCTCGGTAGAGCGTGGCATGCTATCTCATCGGTATGCTATCTCAGTCGCTTTTTCTCCCCACCGTGAGAAGTAGGTCGTGGCGAGGCTTCAGGCGTTGTGAGAAACCATGTCCTGGCCAAAAATGAATAAGGAGGAAATGGAAAACTAAAACCAGGAAAGAAATTCAGTGTTCGGCCAACTTTTTCAATAGTTCCTCGTTCCTTCAATATTGCTAGCGAACAAATTTGGTTAATGTCTGCTCCCTCGTTTCTGCTAACCCTGATGATGATTAAATTATTATGCCTTTCCATCGCTACGCTAGATTGAAACAACCAAAACGAAAAGCCTACCGCTGTCGTCATGATATTTTCTGGCTCGTTAATATTAAGTGCATATGAACTCTACAGGCAGCCGCCATGTTGGAAGGGTGAAGCCTCTCCGCGAATGGCAAGGCCGCAGACGGAAGTCTGCTTGGAAAAATGCCGAAAAATGTTCCTCTTCTCGCCGACAGTCGGAACCAGTTCTCCCGTTGCCCCTCGGGCACGTCTGCCGGAATGCCCGACCTCACTGGCGCTTTTTTTTTCATGGGCCATGGGGAGCAGGGTGGAAAGAAGGGGCTTCCAAGGACGGGGGGGTGAAAGAAATTCCCCAGAGGCAACGATTAGCAATTTCAAGGACTGCCAGGGGAGGCTGCCGTCCCCATAAAATACGCCAATGCCAGACGGCATCGGTGGACGATACAATCTCTCGATCTCGCGCCATTACAGTTACCATGAGGCATGGTACTAACTGAGGCGTACGGTAATAATGCCCAATGTGCGTCAAGGATTCGAATGCTCTGAGAGACAGAAGACTGGGTTGAATAATACGTTTCACGTTGACGAATCGGGCGCGATAGCCATTGGCTGTTCGGAGTGGACTAACCTTGGGTGTGACAGATTTTTATGTGCCCCTTGTAGACCCTGGATCCCAGTGGCTAAGCGTCGGAGGGGGACAGGCTTAAGCAGTTCAAATTCATATTTTGACTATAATAAATATAAACTTAATGCCACGAAGAAATTCATTTTTTTTTATGAGGCAAGGGAAGTATTTATTGGGTGTCCCTCTTTCGAGGCACAGAAACATGGTCACCTTCGCCCAGGGAGAACACGTGCCCCTCCCCTCCCCTCCCTACACTTTTCACTAAAGAAAAGCCCGAAAAGGAATAAATCCATGAAATGCATAATTGAATTCCAGAGTTCCTGTACCCCCCACTTTTTAAAATGCACTCTAATTTCACGCTTGTGCTGGTTTCACGTTGCTTCGTGCAACGGAGGCTTCTTCAAAGTTTCTTGAAAAGAGGGAAAAGATGGTACGAATTAACTCGCCAGAAGCCTAATGGCATGAGGGAGGAGGGCGGCGGCTCCGAACTGGCGCGCGGCCTGCGCGTTTCCCATTCGCTTGTTCGGTCTAGCTATAACTACTGGGTGGGCCATAAGTAAGCTTATCGAGGGATTTTCAGCAACGGTAATTTAGTAATCTAGGTTGCTAATTCGTGCTGCATGTTTCTTCCAGCTCATGGTGATGGTCATACTTGTTAACCGCTGAAATGCCTCATGGACTTGCCAAAGAAAAAAGTATTTTAACCACTGGGTCATTAATCGGAGAACCTTACTTTCGGGCCACCCTGTATATACAATGTCTGGAGACGACGATAATGGATCTGAAAGCCCCCCCCCCATTCTACCCTCTTCTCGCCTTAGGCGCGACCCCGCTTACCTTCTCCCCAGCAGTCTCTCAGAGGTATTCGTCCTGTCGGTGCAGCTTGCGTGTTTCCCCATCTGAATTACGCTTTTGAAGATCCTTTACGCCTCGGCGATCAAGAGCGTCTCAAGCCACTTTCAACTTGTCCCTCTTCTCTCTACCCCTTCAGCTAGCGCGCCGGGAAGATGCTGAACCTGAAATCCCCCATGGTGGTCGTGTCCAACCGTCTGCCGTTCGTCCTCAAGAGGAACGAGAACGGAGAGCTGCAGCGCAAACAAAGGTGAGTTTGAGCGTGGAAAACGTTTTCCTTCGAAATCAATATCTCTAAGAATTATATTCCTCATTCTCGCCTTTGTTGGAGATAGGCTTCGTTGCGCGAGACAATGACGTAACAGTGCTCGTGCAATTTTTTTTTTTCTAACACAGAAAGGTAATAACAAATCTGGGATTTGAGACCTGGCCCATAATTATCGCATTATAGGAGTGGAGGAAGCATCTCGAAGTTCCGTTCAAGTTCGGTTTAGAAGCTACCTCTATAATGCCATTTTCCTGGGTTGTATCGAGATGACCAAACCCCTTTAATTTAGAGATGCGAAATCAACGCTTTCCCACTGCCGAGACATTGCACTTTGAAGTGAGTGTCGATAATGCGAGAAAGGTCAAAGTCTGAACGTGCGATTTTTGGGACGATACTTTGTAAGTGCACTGAATCGACATTTTTGTCTATTACATAAAAATGGGGGGGGGAGGCTTGTTCCTCAAATCGCCCATATTCATCCGCATGTAGTTGACGGTTCCATAAATTAAGCAAACCCTACCAAAAGTTTATTATGAGATCTCATGAGTTCTCATATGACATGCATGATGCCTCATGAAACTCATCGCGTATGATCATGAGGTTTCTGGAGATTCCGGCAGGACAAAATAATAGACGCATGCGCGCATTATGAACAGGGGCGCCCCCACTGGTGACGTCCACTGAGCTCAGAAAAAGAATTGGAGATGGCACGCCCATAGGAGTAACGGGGAAAACTGGCGCATTTTGAAGCCACACTTCCATGAGAGGTTCCTCATGCATGAGTGTCAAAGTCGAGTGAAGAAATGTCTGACTCGAGTGAGAAGCACTTGCGTTCTTTGGAGTGTCTGCCCAAGGCAAGCTTGTCCCATGACATCCTCAGACCATTGCATGTCTTCTGAGGTCATACATTGAGAATGTCCTTGTGTTGGCATGCGTCAATGTAGTTCATCGTGTTTCATTTCCCTCCATGCCCACCTATTCTTTCAATCTCTTTGGAGATTGAAACTAACATTCCCAGGGTGTTCAGAATATTATAGGTATCGGAATTGAAAGCTGTGAAGAGACTCCATACAGTATAGGCCTAGGCCTGGTACATAGCTTGGTGAAATGTCCCCTCTTGCTCACTTTCCATTGGCTTGGTCCTCTGTCTCTTGACCCTCAGGTCAAGAGACAGCTGAAAAATAAGGCATCCGTCTCACTTGCAGCGCCGGCGGACTGGTGACAGCCGTGGCCCCAGTCGTGATCCAATGCGGCGGGCTCTGGGTTGGCTGGCCCGGGATCCACATGGACGATCCCCACCAGTCTGTTCCCGAGTCGGACCCAGGGGACATGGGACCCTCGGCGGGCCTCAAGTCGGAACAGGTGAGGATGCAGATCTAGACGTGTTCCGTGGCGACTTAATGTGCGAAGTTGTCCTTGTAAACCCGGTCGGCCTTGTCGATCGGAGTGCCCAGCCATGCAAGACAACAAAAAAGGCTTTGGGTGGATTTTGAACTGTTGGCGTCCCCAACCACGGTTGAAAATGAGGCGTATGATTTATTATTATTAGAGAGAATGATCAAATGCAACATTTTCAAACAAGTTTAGGAGTGAAAAATTTAATCCATATGGTGGATTTTCCGATAAAACTAGATTAATTTTTATCGATTAGTTCAGAAATCCCCTTTTCGTTTAACGAGGGTGATCCTAAAGCTTCTGCCCGGAATATAAGGGAATGTAATTGACTGTTGAAACATTTTAATTTTCAGCATTATCTTTGGACACCAATACTTGACAGATTGATGGAACAGGGCTACAATTTAATTGAGGGAAATCCATTTCGTTGTCAACTAGAAAAGCTTCACTGAATTGACAATTGCCTTTTTCACCTAGTCCGCTTCACAGGAAGTTTTGCTTTAAATTTATCTTATTGAATGAACTGTCATATTGTGGTGATTGAATTATCAGATAAATACTTTAATTAATGCGGACAATACTTTAATCAATGCTTTAATTTAAAAAATGCCCAGTGTTCAAATTTTCAATTTTTGGAAAGGGATAATTTTTTTTTACACAAATGATTATGAAAAATATGCGCTTAAAAGCCAAATTGTGGCACTGAAATGACCAAAAAGGATGAAGGGATATGGGAACGAGATTTCAGCCTTCCTCGATCGTTCATTCCTCGATCATTCCGACTACCTCGGGGCAGAAGATGTAGGATCGTCCCTCGTCACTGCTCAAGAAATCACGGTTCACAACCCAACTGTCGAAATGGCACTGCTGCCTCCCCCTTGACTCCTCGAAGAAACCCTAATCACCCTTATTGTAGGTCGTGCCCGTCCACGTGGAGGAGCAGCTGTTCGACGACTACTACAACGGATGCTGCAATGCTACTTTCTGGCCCCTCTTCCACTCCATGCCAGATCGGGCGGTCTTTGTGGCGGACATGTGGGAGGTGAGGATGGAATTCGGATTGGTTCGATCTGCTGCCTGCTTGATTTTGTCCGCTTTCGACTGTTCGATGCTGGGACTGGGACTCGGTTTGTTTGTCCAAGGCCATACTTCCAAAAAAGGGTGGGATGCCAGGAATTCGGGCTATTGCGTCGTGTTGCGTTCGATCGGACCTCATGAGGACTCGGGAGAGTTCGTGTCGGATGACGCTGGTATGGTGGGGATGCTGAATGATTTATTTGCCTGTTTTCTTGAATGAATCCGATGAGGCACCGCCGATGTCGTTGACGCATGCGTGTTGTCACTGAGGTCGTCAGGATAGGAAAATAGAAGGCAGGCTCCGATGGTATTTCAGAGCGTGTTTTGAAGGAACTTTCGGGGGAAGTAGCGTTTCAAGTTTACGAACGTTTGCGAACAGTAACATAACGTTTGATGCCATAGGATTTTCAAACTGGATGGTGACTGCTGTGTGATGAGGGAACCCGTTCAAATTGCGAAAGCCTCAGGTAAGACTCAAGTCGCGGAATAAGTTTTTCAGTTGCTGTCTGAGCAGACCATGTGGCAGCCCCTTTTAAGAAATGGCTAGATGCCATCATGGAAGAAAATAATAAAGGGAGCCACGTAGCAGAGAGGCCTTCTGACTTCCGTGCTCCAACCTTGAACCTTGTGGAACGGTAGCCTGTTGAGTCCGAGATCCCTGTATAATGTCTTGACCGGCCGGCTGCTGAAGCTCGCGGTCTTTCTTCGTCCCGAAGAAAGACCGCGACGCTGAAAGACTGAGGGTTTACAGGTCGGTCGTGTATGCCCTGCAGTCGACTCTGCTTCGCATTGCACATTCCATGGCGTATGCAATGCGATGTCTCTTATCAGCAATAGTTAATATGTCCTTGCCTCGTGGGCAGTCGTACTCGACAGTGAACGTGATGTTCGCCTACCAAACCGTGGATGCCTTGAAGAAGATGAAAATGAAGAATCAGGAGGGCGAGGAGCGCATCCCCTTGGTCTGGATCCACGATTATCACCTCATGCTTGCTGCTAACTACATCCGGCAGGTAAGGGGACGTGGTTCCCTTCATTCCTCTCTCTGCTTGGCTCTTTAATTACCAGGAAGACTCCCGTCAGCAGTTGCTCCACTCGAGACTCTCGCGTTGCAGTTCATGGGTCAAGGAGAAGAAAGTTCTCTGCAGCTTTCACTCTGAAACACGGGGGCCTGTTCCTCGCTTCGGTGATAGTAATGTAAATCTAACCTATATTTAATCTCAACCTGATCTGAAAAGATTGTAAAAAAGTAAACAAGGGTGTCTGTTCCTCACTTCGGTGCCTTATTCCACACGGACACAGTGTGAGGGGAAGGGTAAGTGGCGATTAAACCGGAATTACTCATTAGTAGGGGGGTGGGGGCGTGGACATCAATGACTCAATGAAATGGGCACAAGGGAAATGTGGTGTTCAAGAGTTTCTCTCCCCTTCGGACTTTGTGGATCCTACCCAGCGCTAACCCTTGAGGGGTGGGAAGAGGTGGGCCCGGACCATACTTAGAACCTTTTAAAGTCGTCATTATGGTCTTGCCTCGCACGTTGAATCTAAATCAAAACCAAGTTCACTCACACCAACAGTCCCATGGCCACCGGTGAAAAAAAATCTGCCGGCGAGAAGGTGCTAGGTTCATGCTGAGAATGCGAGGTAGGAAATTTGATGACCTGGTCCAGGTGAGCTGAACTGAACTCTCAACCCTCGGACATGAAGACATGGGTGGACCAGAGACGATGAGGTTTTCAGCTACACATTCTCCCTCTCATTTGCAATTGAGATTTGAAACCGAGCTTTAGCCGGTCTCCGCCACAGTAACCTAGAAGCGCCAAAAAGAAAGCGCGGAAAGGCAATGGATTAAAGTGGAAACCATACAGGGCCTACATCAAAGCTCGTATTAGATGAGTAGTCTCTGCCACTTGTGTGCACTGATATTGGACTTGCACGTGGAGTCGAACAAACATTATTATGGAATATTTATTTTAACCCTTTCTCTTTGGAAAGAGAAATAGCGCTTTGGTACAGACCCAAGTTATTTTTGGGGCCAATTAAAAATTCCACCTTAACCCTTTCAGACCTTATAAGGCCGCTATCGGAATATTTTCTGCATTGTTGAGCTCTTTCGTGATTCTAATTGAAATTCTCGTGCTTTATATGTAGTTTTCATATTTTATATGAATTTACCATATACCATTTATATTATACATTTAAATAACTGAAGAGTACAAAACTAATGGGCGAAATAAGGACTCTTATGAAACTCGGCCATGCGTAATGTACCCATTGTAGCGTAATGGGAGCACGAATCTGGACAAGGAAGGAACTTCTTGCCTTTGGGCTGTTTTTAGAATAAAATCAAGTTTGGATTTGGATCAGATTAGCAGAGGCAAGGAAAAGGGCTCAGTATTCAAGATCACTTGCCGAAGCCCGAAATTGTCTTGTATCCTCGCCCTTACCATCTCCCGTTCCGTTTCAGTATTAAACTATAAAGAAACGATAAAAGGGGTGTAGCATGCGCTCTCCATCGATCCAACTTTGTCCGTTCAAACTTGTCACCAGCGTCAAAATAATGCGCTTACTTGAATGTGGAAGCATTTTGTTTCCTTGTATGAGTCACGCTTAGGCTGATGTGCGCTATTTTTTCGTTTTTCAGTACTAGGCATGACACCGTCAGTATTTACTGTCATTTTCATTGGGGGGGGGGGGGTTTCGAATTAAATCCAGAAACTGTGTCTTCTGCTCCTACGTGACCCCATGAATAATCCACATGCTCAGTCGTGCCCAACGAAGAGAGTCTGGTTCTTGAGTTTGAGATTCTCTGCATGTTTTCATACTAGGAATGCGAGGAGCAGAATCTGCAATGCAAACTGGGATTCTTCCTTCACATTCCATTTCCACCGTGGGACATCTTTCGTCTCTTTCCCTGGGACAACGAGGTCCTGCAAGGAATCCTAGGTGAGGGTATTCCATTTGTGTTTTTTCTCACCTGCCATCTCCATAGCTATTAGTCAAGACATCGTTTTTGGTTAGGCAAGGCCCATCGCATATTCTCGCATATTTACTTCCTTTGCGGCTCTGGAGTCGATTTGAGATTTATCGCGAACGGATTGTAAGCAAGTGAAACCGGAGCAACGTAGTGGTTTCTGTTAAACCGATATATGGAGTATAGGTTGAATAAAATAAACCTGGTTGTTTGTAAAGCACAATAGAAACATGGTTGCCAATGCAACCATGTTTCTATTGTGCTTTAAGCCCTCGTGAATGGGGTCGAGTTGCATCAATGCAGATGAAACTCTGCTCCATAGTGCCTATTGCTTTGTAGAATATACAGTATAACAATGATACCTTATTTAGTATTCTATATTGTCCAGGTGTACACATTGTAAGCAATTTTTTTGCGGCAGATTCCAGTTCGTTAACTTCTGCAGCGTGGTGATAGCTCTTCCTTGACTCTGAGTCGTAAAGAATTTGGCAATGATAAGAAATTAGCTAAAATTTGTCCCTTTAAAATTCCTACCTGCACCCAGCGCATTTCTGCCACAAGCGCTGATGTGATGTGACGTCATCGCATATCCTGCATGGACTCAGAAACATTACCATCCCTCCAGGAAACGACTTGGTGGGATTCCACATCGAAGACTACTGTCGGAATTTCCTGGATTGCTGCCAGCGGCGGTTGGGCTGCCGGGTGGACCGAGTCCACAACCTGGTGGACGTGGCAGGGAGGACGGTGAAGGTCCGGGCTCTGCCGATCGGGATCCCGTACAAGCGGTTCGAGGAGATGGCCAATGCGGCGCCCAGAGCACTGCAATCCTCCCAGCAGATCGTCCTTGGGGTCGACAGACTCGACTATACCAAGGGACTCGTCAATAGGTTTTGTTTTTTTTTTTCCCATTCTAATGATCTGAAATTTGCCACCATCATGACTGGAATACAGATAAAAGTTTTCCGCTGTGACCTAACCGAGAGAAATGAGGGCAGCCTCACCCTTATATTGTTAATGATCTGACAAAGTGGTATGCCAAAGTGGTTCCAAAGATGAACTGTAATTTGAACTGAACCTCCAATTTCAGTCTGGACTTTGATCTGGGTGAAATTCGTCTGTACTATCGACTACTCTCGCTAAGAAATTCTAGCTTCAACTGCAACTGAACTGCAATTTTGAAATAGACCATGAAGTGGCCCATTATTGACCCAACGTCGACATAATTACGCAAGAGCGCCCAAGTTTGCTGAAATTGACCTGGTGTAACCCAAGGTGGCTAAACGTAAATCCAATTATTCAGCCTAAACCAAAAACAATAAGTGATTCAAATTGATCCTATGGCCATAATTGCCCTAAAGAAACAACTTGAGTCAACTTGAATAAATATCTGAGTCACAAGTATGAGTGGAATAAATACGTATTTTACAGCCATTTTTAGAAATGTTGCACAAATTAAAACTATAATCAGGCTGTGTCCATTCTAAATTGTATGAGAATCTTTAACTATGGGTACATTAAGACTACGTTAAGTACATGACTTATTTTGCGTCTCCGGGTCACTTTTGATGAACTTTTACCAATACCGAATAATTAGGGACAAGATGGGTCACACCGGATCACTTTGTGTACCGTGTTGAATGCCCATAGTCATTGATTATTTTGATGGCATGAACTTGAGCAGTACAATCAGTGGTACACTGCTTACTGTTGAGCGAAGCGTTGATGTGTTGATCACGATAATCACACTGCACCCACCTAAAGCTTCTAGTTTGAAAAAAAAAAAGCTTTCAAATGCTTTAATGCCAAAAAATTCCTGTAACAGCTTGGTTCATGATGGAATTTACCCATATGAAGAAGTGAAGAATTATCTTTAGTGCTTAAATTACCGTGGCAGCCAAACTGAAACGAAGAGAAAGGAACAGAATTGAGGTATGAATTAGGCCGATCAAGTTTTTCCATTCTCATCGTGACAAGTGGAGTCGTCCTTGGGTGATGGTTTGAAATTTGAATTTTTGGTCCTTTTCATCCATGAGCCTGCCATGCTCGAGATTTGTTGAATTGCGAGGAAAATGTCAATATTTTATGAGTAACCAGGGTGGGAGTGGTGTTTTGAATTCTCTTTCTGAGAAATCTCACCCTGTTATCAGGGGCAATGATCATATTGTACATCTGTTGAGGTAATTGTGAGGTTTTTCTGTTAGACAGAAGAAAGTATCTGGGAGAACAGCTATTGATATTGGAAACGGGAGCAGGGAAGAGATGGGAGTGTGACTTCTCATGAGACTAACAGTATCTCCACTATATGTTCTTCGTTCATTATTCTTCAGCGCCACAATTGCTCAAGTTGATTCCCTGTCGAGGATTCTGTCAAAGTTTCTTTATAGACTTTGTTTCTTAGGCATTTTCCAGTTACAATTGGAAATTTTAGAGGAAGTGAAGTGAGCATTTGTACCAGCTAAGGGGCCATTTAGATGTGTTCTCGAGTTGGGAGTGGTCCAAGACCCATATGTTGTATATTTAGCGATTTAACATATTAAATTCTGAATATGTATGAGATGTGTTCTTGGACATACTTCTCGTGGTCAAATGTTATCAGATATGAAAGAAATAGAATTCACTACAAGAACCTCTCAGAAGTGGGGCATACTGGAAAGCATGATTTGTTGGACAGGATCCGATCCTTTGAGAGGTTCTTGGAGAAGCATCCAGAGTACCTGGGGAAGGTGGCACTGCTGCAGGTGGCCGTTCCTTCCCGCACGGATGTGAAGGAGTACCAGCAGCTGAAGGAGCAGATGGACTTGGAGATCGGACGTATCAATGGACGTTTTTCCACACTGAATTGGTCCCCCATTCGATACATCTATGGCTGCATTTCACAGGATGAACTGGCTGCCTATTACAGGTCTGAGGCATGATTTACTGGAGTGAGCATGTTACTGATTGTTGCCAGTTGAAATCGGGTTGCCTCAAAAGAGGACGAAGTATATTAGTTTTATGCTATCAGGAACAGAAAGCTGACTTTTTAATGATGGGGAAGCAGTATGTATGAGCCACTTCATGCAGTTCAATTGGGCACCACAAGACATGGCTTATCCTTCACGGAGTATCTTGCTGTGTATCCTGCATTTGGTATACTTACAGTAGGAAGCACCAGATTGAATATAATTGTTAAATATAGTTCTTAACTGTTACTTATAGTAAATATAGTCAAATTTCTTCATATACATTTGCTCGAATTAGTTGGTCTGTTTGTACTAGGCAGAACAAGTTGAACAATGAAAAATAAGAAGCAAACTTATGATAATGACTACATGACTTTTTACGGAAGGATGCCTGGGATCGTGCCACCTTGAGGTGGGTGGGTGGAGTAAATACTACTCATTGCTACCTTGATCCTTCAGTTGTGTGTTCTTTGACAGGGACTCATCTGTGGCACTGGTGACCCCTCTTCGAGATGGAATGAACCTGGTGGCCAAGGAATACGTAGCCTGTCAGGTGGACAAGCCTGGAGTGCTGATCCTGTCTCCTTTTGCTGGGGCTGGGGAAACAATGCACGAGGCCCTGCTCGTTAATCCCTATGAATTGGATGATGTGGCTGATACCCTCCATCGAGCTCTCACCATGCCCATTGATGAGCGGGAGATGCGTATGTATCACCTGAAGAAGAGAGAGCAGACCATGAATGTGGATTTCTGGCTCACTTCCTTCCTCAAGGTGAGTTTTCTTTGCAGCATTTCACTTGACTGAGACAATGGGTAAACATGTTTTGCACAAAATCCCACAATAATATGGATTTAGTAATGGTTAGAATGCATGCAAAGGACCCCAGCAGGTTTTTTCTCTTCATCTTCCAGTGCTCAAGGTATCTCCTATCAGTGGCACAACCTCCTCTAAAGTTTGGGTGGGGGTTCAAATTTCTCATGACCTGTCTTTCAAATGTCTCTGAATGCAAGAAGGGATTATCAATTCATCAGGAGAGGTAAAATAAAAGCACAAAACAGTGCAAGCATGTGAACAAAGAAAATGAAGCTGAAAATTTTCATGAAATGGTGAGCACAGAATTTTAACTCTAAATGATATAAGCACATTCAATATCTAAAAAAGACTTAACATGAACCTAAACATCACTGCACGTTCACATATGCAACTGGAAATTAGTTAACCTGTATGTGATTCAGGCCTTTTATTTAAGTCGTCTTTCCATTTTCATATAAAAAATTCAATAGCGCCAAATGTTCAAGGTGTTTCCTTGACAGGTTCACTAAAGTGAGTAGCTCCATGTGACAGGCATGACCTTCACCTTTGACCTCCTATTTTTGTGCCTTTCCAGCCTTGCTCTCAGGTCATTTGCTCATACTTTTCTGCATCCCTCCACTCTTGAGGGAGAGGGGAATAGAGAAGTAGGGAGATACCATCATGAGCAGGGGTTTGGGGGGGAGGGTTCAAACCCCTGAACCCCTCCCCCCTCAGTTGCACCCGTCTCCTATAATTGCCTAAATTAGATGAGCTGATGCATGATTATATTATCAGATCTAAATGAAATTTAAATATGCAACCTTGCAAAGTCCTTATGTTTTGCATTCTTCACAATAGAGATGCAAGATGATGATGGATGCATTTATGTTGCATATCCCATGAGTCTATGTTTATATTCATATATACTAGTATTTTATAGTGTTAGTTCCAGTAATTGCAGTCTCTTAACATTACATGCATTCAAGACCTGCTTTAGGCAGGGTTCAAGCATGAGCTTGGAAATGTAGCAGTCTTCTGCATGGTGCATCATGTCAATTGATGCTGCGTGTAGCACAAAATTATAAGAATTCAGAAGTGCCACTTAATAAGGCATATGTACAGCCATATTTGAAATATCTTTGAATAACCCAGCATTTCATAATGCTACTAGATTTGAGCTTCCATGATTTTCTCATTCATCATTATGAGTAACCCTTTTTTTGACAGCTGAGTAATAGGAATTAGCTTCAGTGGTATACTGATAGAAATATGTGCTTCTGAATGTAGTCTTTTTGAATATTCTTCAGGCTTTTTAACAGATGCAAAATCACAATCCCATTTTTTTAATCTCCAGGAATTTCATCTGATATCCCTTGAGTGTTTTGGCTGAAGTTAAAAAAAATTGACAATACTTTTGTCGAAGTGACAGGTATCTATCAAGACATTCCCTGGCCACAATGTCATTGGAGTCCACTAGAGTTCTGGAAGCCACTGCACTTGCCGAAAGGGAAGAGGTGCTTATCTAATTCTGAAAATATCCTCCTTGAGTTTATTTTTTGTTGTTGACAACTTTTGCTTTGTCAAGTTTTACACTGTGAGCTGTTGTCTCAGTTTATTATATTGGGTTGTAACATATATTCCCGCCGTTTTTATATTTTGTTTGTTTTCACTCCATATTTTTGAAGTTTGGCAAAGTGGATATAGTCATTCGAAAGAGCGTTCTTTCCT